CTGGGCCTGGGGTCGCTACGCTGAGCCAGCGTCGCCTCCTGCGGTGAAGTGAGAGTCCGGGCTGGGCAGGTCCAGCCTGTGTGCGGGTACCGCCAGGAGCCTGTGTGAGGGCGGGGGTGCCGAGCCGGAGGTGTTTGGCGAGGTGTTCTCGCAGTCTCCCCGTTAGGGAGCAGCTCAGGAGCAGCTGGGTCCGAGCTTTGTGTGCACGGAGCTGTGCTGTCGCTGCGGCTGGTCTGCGAGCCTCGGGGCTTGGCCTGACCATGGCCAGGGGATGTTTAGGCCATTCGTTCTCTAAGTAGGCGCTGGAGACTTCACATGTGGCTGCCAGGCAAATATGTAACTTCTGTGACTGCCGCGGCTGGAGGAGCTGTGGCCACGGCTAATGTTTTGCATTGTGACCACAGCAGAAGCTGAAAGAGTGCATGAGCCCCTGAGCTCAAAGGCTTTGATTTACAGAGGTCTGATCCAGTTTCATATCCCCATTCATGCACATAATTGTATGTAGCTATTGTTCTTTTGTTTGCCTTTTTCTTTCTGTTGGTAAATACAAAGCTTGGCTTTGTGCTGGTGCTCGGTCTGCGCTAGCTCTCACTGTGTAGTGGCAGACTTGCACTGCTGACAGATTCAAATTATACCTCGAGTATACACACAAGTTGCATCTACCTAATTAGGACAAATTAGAAATAAACAGATTTCATGGTGTGAATATAAGGTAGTTGCACTGATTTACTGGTTTCTAAGCTTGCTTAAACTGTTGAAGGACTCAAGCTTTGTCTACAGTATCATAATTCTCTGTAGCCGAACAGGCTAGGGAAAAAGACAAAAAGAGGTTCTACTCAGTGACTTTTACTGCAGATGAGAAGTACCTTCACACTGCATCACATCAGCTCCATTTTCAAGATACGGATTTTATCTATCCAAGACTTTATTTTCTCACCATGTGATATTAGGGGCCTGTTGAAAAGCATTGTTCTGAAATAGTTTCAGTTTTGTCTGTCGTTTTAATAATATCTTTGGAGGTACTTAAGAGTCAACAATATCATCAGACAATTGAGATGAACCAAGCCTAAGTAGTAACAACAAGAAATAAGTAAGTTAGCAAACACCAAAGTTCATTTAGGCAACTGCTGTTTCTGGTGATAGCATGTTGTTTACCAGAAGACTGTTTGGTTCTCAGCTTCCATGGTTTTAAAAATGATTTTTTAAAAATCTACAGTCCATGTTGCATTGTCAGTGTCAAACCAAACTCCATAGTTTAGACTGTAATTCAGTTCATTGCTATTTTATGTCTTCCTAAGTGGTTGATTTTTTGCAGTTAAAAAGATAAATTGCCACTGTGTTATTTTTTTCTGTCTGTTCCAGATACTGTTCTTCAAAGATTCAACATTGACTTTGTTATAGCACTGTTGAGGCAAGAAAATGCCAAAGACATCTGTGTCATCCAGATACCTCCAGAAATAAAATACTGTGACTATTTTATAATTGTGAGTGCATCTTCAACACGACATCTCCATGCAATGGCACATTACATGCTGAAAATGGTAAGACAATTTCTACTTTACCATCAAGATTTTGGGGAATGATTTTAAATGTTGTGAAAGGAATTTCCCCAGGATTGCACATATAGGGGTGTACCAGGTAAGATGAGACCAAATAGTTCTAGGAACCAGCTGTGCTTTATTGCGTTAGCAGTACTACACAAAATACAGAGAGTAGACTTTAAAAACAGATCTCTCTGTATCTAGAACATGATGACATCAGTACAGTTTGGTGGCTAGCACAAGAGTGAGGTGAAATGGTGATGACCTGTGTCCATTTCTGTCTTTGTCTGGCAAACGTCCTAGCTATTCCCAGTGATTCAGAATAATCTGACTATTCTCAAACCTTAATCCCTAAAATTTCCAGGTTGTCAGGTATATTTTAAGGTTGGAAAAACAATGGCAGCTTATGAGGCACAGGATCTCTTCATGGGCTTATTTAAAGCGAAGTGCTGGTTGGTGTGACCCTGCTGTGCATGTTCAGGAGGAAAGGAGAAGCAGCTGCAGCCATCCTTGCACAGGAATCCTGCACAGTTTGGCTTTGGCAGAAAGTGAGCTTTTCAGTACAGAAATTGAGGTCCGAATAAAAATACAGGTAGAGCTTAGGGATGAGGGCCAGACTCAGGGAGGGATAAACATTACAGCCAGAAAAGAGCCATATGACTGTTAAAAAGCACAGTGTGAGGAATACAACCACCCCTTGTCTCAATCAGCTGCCTGTACTCTGCCTGGAGTTTGCCTTCCTGTCACACACTTTCTTTGCCTTCCTGACCCTTTTTCCTTTGGCTCTTGATTTTTTTACTTTCTTCCTGCCAATCTCATTGGTTTCAGCTGTGAGATTTGAGCAGGGGAGATGGTATTGCTTTTCAGTGCCATTCTGAGCAGGTTAGGGGAGTTTCTTGTGTTCTCTGCAGGAATTGATGCATCTTTGCAAACCAGCATTTTGCCTTAAGCTAAAAGTTGCGGTAGAGTGATTTGAACATGCTAAATCTAAGTGCTTCGTATGTACTCTATTGCTTGCATACCTTGCTAGTCTGTAATCAACAGCTTTCCATCTCCTCCAGACCAGGAGAGATCTGTGAGTACCACCCACCCTGCAAAAATGTGGTTGTGCTACAACTGGCTGCACCCTCTGGTGGCTGTAAAAGCAGCGATTTTGCAAGGGCAGAGCCTCTGGAGAGACATGACATCCTCCTGGGCATCCTGAAAAACCAGGAAGCCTGATCAGCTGCTCAGGAGTGGCTGAGCTTGTCTTGCTTTGAAAGTTTTCTAGGCAAAAAGTAAGCCAAAGCTTAAGAAGTAAAGCAGAGCAGGTTCTCAGGAATAGTGGTAGGCAGCTGGAGTGCTTTTCCATTACTGTACCTAAAACCTTATGTTAATGCATGATTTACAGTAAAACTCAGAGGTGCTGAGGTGTAGCATGAGATCTTCCTCCTTTTCTTCCAGTAGCTTGGCAAAGTCCCAGCTACTGCTTACCCATTCCCCTCTAGTTTCATGTTAGAGGAAGAAAGGTAGCACTTGGCTTTATTATCATCTGTTTACCTTACACAGCCTCTAAAGATGAGGCTTGGAAACCTGGAGGGGAGGTCAGCCTTTGCAACCTGTGTCACATAGCTGATGGCAGTGCACACTGTAGTATTTCAAGCAGCCTTTCAGAGAGTCTCTGACAGTTACCTGCTTTTGAAAATACCTCACAAGCCATCTTAAGGGACAGAAGGTAGAACTAATTCTGAGTTACATCTGAAAGTTCTCCGTGCTGGTTTGCAAACTGGGATCATTATCCAGCAGCTGGCATTGTATGGGAACAACCAGGAACAGTTGGATGCCCAGTGAAGTGGGACTCATTTGCCAGCCCACCATGCTGGTATGGGTTATTTTGTGCTTTGTCTTCCATGGCAGAAAGGACTGTTAGAGCCATTTCTATTGATGCTTCTAGTAAAGAAACAAGTAGGTTATGGCCAGTACTGAAAGTGACTGTGCTTGAGCCTCTAGTTGTCAGATTTCTTCAGTTCTGGTGGGTGCTTGGATTCTTTATGTACTTGGTGGGGAAAACTGAGCCCCTCAAGGTGGAATCTACAAAAGCCAGCATGTTGCATAGGGACCTACCTACCTGCCTTCCCCTAGCTGAGTGTGTGCAGTTGTGTTTTGAGCTGCCTACTCACCTCTCCCACCCACAGTGCTTCATAGCTTGGAAACCTATGTGCTAGTTGTGCTTTAGCCCCAGCTTGCAATGAGTGTTGAGTGTGTGTGCTCAGGAGACAGGAGGCTTGTTTGAATGTCTTCCTCATGGCATGGGATGAAACTTGTTTTCTTCCCACTCCCATCTGAGAAGAGCGTAAGCTTGGCGTCTCCACTTCTGCACCCTTAACTAGCCAATGTAAAACAACAGTGAAAGGCATCAGAAAGGAAATAAAACTTAGTGGTAGTGGCAGCTACAGGCACCCTGTAACCGAAGGATTACTTCAATGCTAAGCAGTTGTATTCAGTATTCTTCTTGATAGATATGGATATCTACAAAATTCATGGATGGGAATTCAGAGCATTAGGATTGATACTAAATCCCATTGAGAAATGTGTACTTATTTTCCAGTAGTGCAAGTGTCTATAATTCTTTCTGTGCAGACCCCAGAACGAACATGAAGTAATTTATCCCGTTTAAGCTTTAAAACAACTCAGCAAAGTCCAGCTTATCTGTTAAGTTTGAGTGCTTTTAAATAAATGCAAAATGTTTCATTTTCTGCCATTACTTCGTCCCTCAGTACAAGAGTCTCAAAGAAGAAAGTGATCCTCATGTGCAGATTGAAGGAAAAGAGACAGATGACTGGCTGTGCATTGATTTTGGTAAATATTTGTGAATCTGACAAGTAAAAAGTTCTGCATGAGCTGTTTGTTGACAGAAGCATCTCACCATGAACTCTGGTTGCTGTGGAGAGTTCACAATACTCTGCTGTTTTGGAATTCTAATTGTTGCTTGAACTTATTGAAATACTAAATAAATTTTTGCTAAGTATCTTTGGCACTGAGAAAAAAGCTATAACTACTCTTCAGTGGCTAAAACAGATCTTAATAAATGAAGATAACGGTAATGGAAAAAGAAAAGCTGCTTCAGTCAGTTTTCTCAAGTTTCTATAATCCTTGGTTGGGTAAATGGAGGCTCCTTGTACACTGCCTTAATACTGAACTGCTGAACAGGCTTTGCCACTGTCCAGATCATACCATGACATGAGGTAAAAGCTCAGTCCTAAGAAATTGAGTTTAAGTCTTTATTCTACAAATGTGAAACTGCACAAATGTAAAAGACTGTGCATTTAGAAAGCATCTCACCTTCTAACTTGGTGTTTTGGCCTAAAAGAGAGCATGGATGATGAGCACTGCAGCCAGTGATGTTAAGCCTTGGTTACTTCACTGTCATAGTAATTGAGAGTAATAACTGAAAGCCAATTGAACTTTAAGGGCATAACTAGAAAAGAGTGCATGAGAAGCACACCACAATTAACATTCTGTACTGTTGTTTGCAAAGAATTAATGAAGACATCTAAGAAAAACTTATTACATCAAAATTTGGACCTATTTAATTACAAAAACTACCTGAGAAGTATGAGCAGCACATCTAAGAAAAATTACTTGGCTATAGCTGAATGTTGTTGGTACATGCAAGAAATCTGTCACCTTAGGGGGGAGTCTTTCAAGTAAAATTCCTTTTGGCTCACTTCTGTCTTCTATGACATAACTTCTTTGGTCTGGAGTCTCTGATAGTATCTTATTTTAAAGTTTTGTCCCTCATTCTTGTGACTGTAGTCTTGAAGGACTGACCAGTCCCTAACAGCTGTTTAAGAACTGGAATCAGCGACTTCTGTCAGCTGACCTGTTACATCTAGAATGGAGGTGGACAACTTGAGCTCTTTGTGCAGCTGAGGGTGTAGTAGTGCTTTACAGTTCACATTAATTTATTGTGAATTTCTGTTCTGTGCAGGTAACATAGTGGTGCATTTCATGCTGCCAGAAACACGAGAGGTGTATGAATTGGAGAAGCTATGGACTCTTGGTCCCTACGATGACCAGCTGGCACAGATGATGCCAGAGTCCCTGCCAGAAGACTTTATATTTGGAGTGACTCCTAACAGCATTGATCATCTTGAGACAAGAACTTAATGCAGCTGCTGTGTGGAAAGAGAAATGAGTGTGCCTTCACAGATCTGAGAGTGCATACAGTCTTGGCAGCTGTCTGAGCAGGCAGTACAGTTGATCAGTACAGTTGACCAGTACAAAACAATGTATTATTGGATATGTCTAGGTAAAGTTGTGAACAAGCTACAAAAGTGATCAGAATCATAGAACCATTAAGGTTGGAAAAGACCCTTAAGATGGAGTCCAGCCATAAAATGTCAAAGAAAGAATCCTGTCAGAGCTTCCTGTGGGAGCCACTGCTGCAGTGGTGTTTGCAGTGAGACGAGGGGGGCAAAGACAGCTGCTTACCCTGAAACTCATGCTCAGCCTCTACAGTAATTGGTTTTCTAGTATCTTTGAAAGACCTGCCCGTAGTGGCAGTGCAAAAAATACTTGAGTGCTGCAAGGGAAAACCTATGTGAAATAGTACAGTTGAGATGTGGCTTCTTCTGGTAAGCCATGTGTTTCTGATCACAATGAAGCAAGTCATGCTCTGAGTTGAAGTGGGACAGAAAATAGACTGGTGTTACTGAGAACATGAAAGCCAAGAGCAGCAGTGACAAATGTGCTATGAGTTAACAGAACAGTAAGTCAGTTTTTCAGCCAAGGCCAATCTGTTTTTAATAATAATAAAAAAAAACCAAACTGAAGCGCTTCAATTACTTGTCTTCATGTTAAAACACTCAGCTTATTGTGCATCTGCAGTTGGCAGAGGACAGGAGGACCTGGTTTTTCTCTCACCTAGTTTCTGAAAAGGGACACTGAGACAACACGGTATGGCAGTCTAAGCCTTCAGCTCTTTGAAGTGGGCAGTAGTTCAAAAGGACACCATTGGTCACTGAGCATTACTTGCTGCTAACACACTGGTTGGCACGTTCAGAAGTCATGCAGTGTGTTCTTAGTCTGACTGCTGCATGCTCTGCTAGCCAGTTAGAAGAGCTTCAAGGTGGTAACAAACTTGCTCTATAAGAAAAGATGGTTTTCTCCACTACAGGACATGGCTTTTCATCAATGGATTAGGATCTCTTCCTTCTGGAAAAGTTTTGCTTGGCCATGCATCAGGGAGCAGAAACAGGAGATCCTGAGGGTAATCACCTTTTTCCACCCATAGCCTCACAAATTCAAGCCCTGTCTGCAGCTCTGCCTTGCACAGCAGCTGCTGTTTGTAATGCTCTACTTCTAGATGGAAGTGTGTGTGCATATGTGTGTTTAATTAAAAAAAAAAAACCGCCAAAAAACGCTTCTCCCTCTATTTCACGTCATGTTCTCTTGCCTCTGTTCTTTCAGGAGTGATTGCCCCCAAGTTCACCTGCTCTTTGATACAAGGCAGCAGATAGTTCTGCAATTAAGCAAAGAGCATTTATTTAATGTTAAACCAAGTATATAACACATCTTTGCCCACAAAACAAAGGTATGGGTGGTAAGTCTGACTGCAGAGAAAGATTCTGAAAATACTTCATGATACTTCTCAAAAGTAATTGCATGGGAGAATGCTAACCTTGGCTGTCTTACAGTGTGATGGGTTCTAAATCTGGTATTTCCTCCAAGGAGGGATGCGTAGGAGTAACTGACTCATTCCCTGAAACCATTTGCCTTTTACTGCTGCTGAGGATCAGTAATGCTAGATGAACAGAGGTAGGTTCAGCAAACATGCCATTGTACGTATTCACATTTAGTAACCACAGGCACAGTGTCCCGTCTCAAAGAGCTGCTCAGTGACAAAAGGAGCACCTAGAAAAGAACTGAGAGACAGAGAACAGCTTCCATGTGAACAGGGTATGACTCTTACAGGTGAAGAGGGGTAATAGTGTCTAAGACAAGACAAAACCAACAATGGAGACAAAACCCAGTAAAATAACCAAAAAGTGGAACTGACTTTACTGTCAAAGCACAGCACATTGTGAAAAGGAACATCCCCTGGCTGCTGTTAAATAACCAGAGCTGCAGGCTCAGGAAAAAAACTTTGTCCTCCCTCATTTCCCAGCAGCAGTCATAATGTGTGCCCCAGCTAGGCTACCTGCCTACCTTGATGAGCCTTGAGCCAGATACTCCTTAAAAGCTGGGACCTAGGAACTGGCAGAGACAGTCTGGACAATCAGCACTGTGTGACATATTAAACCCCTTCTGGAAAGAAAACACTTGAGAATTATTTCAGTTCTATGGATCAGGTGATTTCTGTGTAAAATAAAAATACTAAGCAGCTTGTCCAAGGAGTCTATGGATTCTTCATTCAGTCCTCCTGTACAGAGGTACCTGCAGGTTTGGCTCTGCACAGGATCCCTGATGATGGGGATGAACAGGAGAAACCCCTGAAGTGGAACTTTTGTCATCATTTCACTACTTTCCTGCACTGCTTTGAATACCTTCATTTTCAACCAGTGTTTATGTCTGTCAGCTGAGCTAAGTCTCTGTTAGAGCTCAGCTTGAGTGCACAATGGTTCATGTTGGTTTAAAGATCCTACTACCACATCAAGCCCAGGCTGTCTTGCATAGCACACATGCTCCATTTAAGGGAAACTAATACAAAGAGCGCATGCCTTGGAAACTGCAGCTTAGGAATAAAAGCTCTGGAAGGTTAGAAGCAAATAAAAATGTCATGATTAAGCAAATGCTTAAAACAGTCAGTCGGGGTTGAGCTGTCACAAATGCACCAGTGGTACAGAGCAAGGCTTAACTTAGGTTGCTCAAATGGCAGGATGCTGGTTCTGAGAGGGTAGTTCAATATTGGCATGGGAAAATGAGCTCAAGGTGCCCTGTGAAATGCAACACTGTACTGACATAATTTCTTTGATTCCCTCTCTCTGCCGGTTGGTCCCAGGAAATGAGCTGTGAAGTAGGAGGGTGCAAGAGTTTGGAAAACAAGTTGGGTTTTCCACTGTTCTTTAAAAAGATACAGCAATGTGTAATTCATGATGTGCCTTCGTTCCCCAACCCCTCCCTCTCACTCTGAGGCATTCAGTTAAACATCTAGTCTCATTTCTTTTCCAGATAATGTTAACTAGGATCTAAATGGAGAGGCGATATCACCTCATGGGCAAGTGCTGTGTGTTTGGGTGGTCACGGTAGGAGTGAGACACTGGCTGCCAGCACATTTGCTTGCTGGTGTGATGGGCTCTGCCTACCCAAGCGTCTAGGGCCACGTTCATTACAGAGCCTCGTCATGCCAAGACCACCACAGCAAAGACTGGGTAAAAAACAGCCAAAAAAAATTAACTGCAATTCAGATCTCACTTCAAGCCTCTTAAAGATTCCTTCATGTTTGCCCTGGGTCAGGACTGTAGAGTCCACATCCCTTCCACAGCAAATCTGCCTAAGCGAACTGCGCAAGACAAACCATGAGCTATAGGTTGTACTACAGACTCTGTGGCATTGTTAGATGCGGGGG